GTATCAGTTAATAACCCACTGTTTTTAGTCATTTAAGCCTAAGCAGGTAGGCTAGCCATCCCACTTACCGGCCATCCCTTAACAAAAACCTGAGACATTCTGAGGCTGCCTATAGATCCTTGCTATTTCTTCTGTTAAATTCTCTAATTTTACATTTTGTGTCAGGACATTTCTTTTCATGCTGCTAGAATTTAAAAGATTCAGATAGCAAGGGAAAGCAATTAACAACCCTTCTCTTTTTGGTAATTTTCTCCCATTGCTCAGCCTGTGTAGTAATTAAGAGAAAGATGAAGTAGTTGAACTCAATTTTATGTGTCTGGTACATTGCTAAACACTGTGAATGGGGACTGTCACCTCAAGCTTCATAAAATTTTGGAGAGTTTTGGTCACCTTGCTACAACTGTCAGGTGACCATCGTTGTCTGGGAGAGCATCTTAGTGTGTGACTCAAACCCCTGCTTCATCAGTCCTTAAGGAGACCCAGCTGTCCTAGGTAGCTACTTGAGAGCTCACAGCTAAATTTTAAACAACACATAGTAAGGAGCTCATTCTGGAACTACCTGAACTAAATTTGCCTTCAGGGGTGACAAAATTTCAAGTTTTAACAAAATACAAACAATGAATTATTAGCCCTCTAGAACATTTCATTGTAGGTAGAAATATATAAGGTCCGTATTCAATTTCCCTTTCTTTTCTGATGGAAAGAACTTTCCTGTTGGAAAATGTAATACAGTAATTAAATACCTAAAATTACCAAAAAATGTATCTTTCTTCTAGATTGTATCTTGTAAGTGACTTGCTATAACCCAAAGGATCCAGGGCCCAGAGTTCAGCTAAATAGCAGATGTCTGACAGATAAATTCACTGTAATGATGTAGATGGTCCTGCCTGCTCATTACATATCCTTCCCATTCAAGCAAAGTACCCATTTTTTTTTTTTTTTTTTTTTTTTTTTTTTGAAGATTTATTTATTTGTGCATACAGGCCAGAGGCTCAGGGGTGGCGAGAGGCTTCACTAGAGACAGAATGGGGAGCAGAACAGGCAGATCGACAAAGTACACTGCTGAGGGGAGCAGTGGATGGGTCAGGAGAGGTCTGCCACACATGTGGTCACCTCCGGGGCAGGTGGGAATCGAACTCATGCAGAAGTGGCTTAGCGTTGTGCTTTAACCCACTGCCCTACCAGGGAGGGCCAGTACCCATTTTTCACTTGTTCCAGCCTTCCCATTGGTTACCCCCATTAAAGAAGCTGAGATATTACACTACCATTATCATTCTCTCTGCCTGTCACTGGCACAACCATAGTCACCTGAAAACAAGATTGTTTGTACATGCCCATTTGTACAAACACAGTGCTTTTGTAGTTATCCGTAGCTTCTATTTTGTGACCAAATGAGTGGATAGACAAATTAATCAAGTTCAGTAAGTTTCATGGAGACAGCAAGAACACGTTAAAAAGCCCTAGTTATGTAAATAAAGGCTAGAGTCTAGCCCACTATGGAATTAGAGAAAGTGACCTTAACAAGTTTTATTCCTGATTGCAGAACACATAAGCTATTATTTTTTTTTTTTTTCTGCCTATATCATTCCTTTTCTGAGTAGGAAGCCTAGACGGGTCTAATGATCAGAAAAAGCTTCACATATGCCCCTAAATCTTACTTAGATGTTAAAATTAGAATCTTGAAGACATCTAAAAACCGTAATGTCTGGCCTAAAGTGATTGCACCATCTTTAGCTTGTCAGTTGCTGACCACTTTTGGTTTAATATAGCAACACAGAGCTTTGGTCTTCAGGCTAATGTGAGTGTTGTCAAACTTGCTGTAACACCTTTGATTGCATTCTGTAGCCTTTAAAGACCTCTAGTCTCTCAGCCCATTTTACTACATCTTATATAAACTCTAGTTTATACAAGAGTGATGGGTCTGACTTGTGCATCACTCTTTTAAAGCAGTGAATATATTTAGGGCACATCTGATATACTGATTACCTAGGGTTGATTTTAAATGTAGCTTTAGCATCAACTGAAGATTTAGCCAGTTTCCCTTGTACTTTTACCCTTCAGATTCTAAACATGACCATGGAATAAATGAGACAGGGGCAGCTAGATTATATACAGACTGACTTGTTAGGAGAAATATCAGTTTACTTGATTTAAAATAAATGTAGAGCCCTCCCTGCTGGCATAGTGGATTAAAGCATAGCACTAAGAAGCTAAAGCCACTTCAGAATGAGTTAGATAACCGCTCCAGAGATGACCCACATGGCGTGGCAGACCTGTCCTGACCTGCTCGCTGTTCTCCTCAGCAGTGTACTTCATCAGTCGGCTTGTTCTGCTCCCCACTCTGTCTCTGATGAATCCTCCCATTGCCCCTGCACCTCTGGCCTGTACTCCAGTTCTGTATACATAAATAACTAAATTTTTAAAAATGTAAATGCAGTTATTGATGAATAATTTTGCTTATTGTCTTAATTTTTGTAAGACTGCTTTAAGAATTCTACAACTCTTAATTCTAGATGTTTTTACTACCTATACTCATTTTAGATATAAGAAAAAATAATTTAAATTGTCTTAGTAACAGGCTTTTGGGTGATTTTGGGCTAGAATTTGCATCCGTGCCATTTGTTAATACTATCTGTGAATTCATTCTATTACATGCTACAGTTCTTTCTTATTACACTCTTGTTGATACAAAGTAGCTCAATAAGGGCCTTCCAGGTAGTGCAAGGGGTTAAAGCACAGCACAGAAAGCTGTCTGCAGCCACTGCAGCACTGAGTTCAATCCCCAGCCAGGGAGGTGACCCATATGACACAGCAGACCTTTCCTGTCTAGCTCACTGCTCCCCTCAGCAGTGCATTTCAGTAGCTCTGCCTGTTCTACTCCCCACTCTGTCTCTAGTTAATCCTTTTACCTGCTGCACCTCTGGCTGTACTCAAGTTCATGATGTGTAAGTAATTAAATCTTAAAAAAATTAAAAAAAATCTCAACAGACATTCACAAGCCCAGTGTCGTCTAATTTAGATGGTTTTTAGAACTTCAAACTGTCATTGATTTTTATTATAATTGTTAAATTCTAAACTTATTCAAAGTAAATAATACAAAAATGTTTTAAAAAATTTGTCAGTTGCTCATTGAGAGCAATTTTGAACAGCAAGCCTTTTCAAGTATACAAAATTTCTCTGTTATGCAGTGTATTGTCATCTTTAAAATATCTTGGCAAGACCAAGTCTTCTAAATTGACCATAAATTGGCTATCTAAGCATGCAATTCAAATAACATTTGCTTGTATCCTATTTAAAATAAAATATCTTGATAAATTCAATATCAATGGCTGTAATATTCCCAACAAAGAAAATGCAGGTGATGTTGGCTTAGTGTATAGTAGATTTTCTTTCTAGAATGTGGATAAACCCCTCCCTCCAAAAAAGTGCTATTCATTATGAATGAATAGTCCCACCTGCCACAGAACAGATGCACAAACTGGGAAGTATTGTGTATGCGTCTGTTGTCACTTAACTAACTCCTTGCTCCTGATGCATTAGATAGATTTAGCTTCTACCAATTAAAAAAAAAAAGAGAGAGAAAAAAAAATTGGGATTCAGATTTTCTTGTTCTCTGTTGCATTTAGAATTTTAAAAAATGAATTATAAATGTAAGAATAGACAACTTACAAGACTTCTTTGTATATTTACCCAATATTAGAGAAGTTTATATAGAATCACTACTAAATTGTCATTTATTCATTCCTTATAACTTAGTAGACTCTAAATAGTTGTAATAAAAAATGGTCCTAAACTATAGTTGGTTTAGGATGATGAATACAGCTAGTAACCTTTATATACATGTTGACGTTGTCCAAAGGCACCATGCTGAATGTAAGTGGTTGGTGAATAGGTCGGGTTACAACAACATGGATCCCTTAGCTATAAAAGTCTTCCTGGGCTTTTTTCCCCAAAGATGCTGCCACAGCAGATCTCAAGTCATGCCATGCAATCACTGCATTTTTGTAAACCTCTATGGTTAGGGAATTTATTTAAATATCTGGAGTCATTTTAGGTGTTCCCAGCTAGGAAGGGGTTGTGTGCTATTGACATCTATGCGTAGAGGTCCTGAGTACCCTGTAGTGCACAAGACACTCATGTACTCAAGAGAGAAACAAATGCCCAATGTGGCATGTCGGTGATGCCAAATTGAGAGATGCTGATCTAGAGAAAATAGAGAAATCCTTAAATGAGTTTATAGTTAGGACAAATAAGAAATGCACAATATCATTTATTCATGATTGAATGAAATAGTAGCATTAGTCCAAATAATAAAATAAGAATAAGCCAAGTTGCATAAATAATTTAAGATTATTAGCTATACTATGATATGAGTAGAAAGTTTCCAATGAAAAAGCATGTGAGAAACTTTAAAGTTATCTTCAAATTAATAAGATTTGTAATGAAAATTATCAGGCTAGATTTGCTGTATTGAAAAAAAGATTTAAAATATTTAATCTTGAAGCATTACTAAAGATAAAAAATATAGACAGAAAACATCTTTTTAAGAATTGCTTTGAAGTCAAAATAAGACCATTTTATATACGTGTCATTTAAGGAGGCAAACAAAATCAAACCTAGAAAAGAGTTAAGATTTTTGGATGATTCTGTCCTCATCTAAGTCTTATAGATTCTCCTTCAATAGTTTTCCTCCAGCCCTAGAAATCAGATACTCATAAGCAGGACATACAATAAATTACTAGAAGTTATTTTGGTTTCTGCCAGTGTAGGATTTGTATTAATAATGAAACCAATTAGAGGCTCAAATACCTCCAGTAGCAACAATAAACATTTAATTTCCTGAGAGAAATAAAGTTAGCTATGTTGACCACCTTGAGCAATCACATGGTAACCAAATCTTCAAACATTGAAGGAGTTGTATTCTACGAAAGAATCAGCAGCAGGCTGATTTAATTGAAGTCATAGAAAAAGTATCCATGCTTCTTTTAATTTTTTTTCAGCCGTCTTATGCATCTCTGATGATAACCAGTCAGCAGAAATGATGGAATGTCTCAAACAAACAAATGGCATGCCTCCCCTTGTGCAAGAGTGTATGGTCCCGTGTCGAGATGACTGTACCTTCACTGCTTGGTCCAAATTTACACCCTGCTCCACCGATTGTGAAACAGCCCGAAGTAGAAGACGACAGCTCACTGGTAGGTTTTACCTTTCATTTCTTGACTTCAGACAACTGATGCACTCTTGAACTTCCTAAAGGGAGTGGAGGAGATAGAGTTTATATCAGTTCTCTTCCACCTATTTTCTTCCTCCCCACCCGCCACTGTTCTATAGTTTAATCCAGGTTTGGATTTTTTTTTTTTGCCTTCAGTATACAAATAATAGTATTTTATATTTTATTACTATTCTAAATAGTAGTATATTTTATTACTGTTCTAAATAAAAATGTGTTTAGACATGCATAAAACTTAATTTGGGGAATGAAGGACCAAAGGGAAATGCAAAAATAATAATTGGGAAAATAAAATTGATTTTGACATAAAAATATTAAGCACAGGTAACCATTTCTGATGATTAGTTTAAAGTTTATTCTCTTAATCTCAAGACCCCTTTTTTGATTCATTGCTTATGTGATTGTCTTAAATTTAACTCACTCTAGTGAATTTACTAATCAATGAGAACATTTAGCAGGAGTTCCTTACTCAAATGGGGAGCCCATTCCATTTCATGGAAACATAAGATGTGTTATATGTTCCACAAAAATCTGTGCATGTAGTTATATGTAACAATCCTAACTTTTTAAGATGCAGCATTTCTCATAGAGAAAAAATATGGGATAGAATGCATTTGACAGGAATAATTGTAAACAGTGAGGACCTCTGAAACGTAGTTTGCAGCTTCATACATAAAGCTTCCGAAGTCATTAATGGAATAACTATTTTTGAGATGAGAATTTACTTCATATACAAATATTTTAATGAGTGGTCAGGGTTTTTCCCCTTTACCTGAAGAATTGCCTAAGGTATTTTGCACCTGAAAATTGAAAATGGAAAAACATTAAGAATCCTACTATATATATATTTACCCATGGGCACAGTTTGCATTATAAATTTTCAAAATTTCATTAATTCAACTTTTATCCAAAATAAACTTTTAATTAAATATTAAAGAACTATTGTACACTTTTCTGCAAAATACATCCCAAGAATTATTTATAGTGAAAACCAACTCTAAGATTTTTTTTTTCTGAATTATCAACTCTTATTATTTCAACTTGCTAATTGATCTCTGTGTATCATCACATTCACACCACATCAAAAACTGGTCAAATTCATGAAATACTTGAATTATTAAAAAAAAAATTACTCAAGTGAATAATGTTGTGTCTTGTTGAAATAGTGAAAATTTTACTGTTCTAAAATCTTATTATGATACTCATATTTTTGTCATGGTTTTTGCCATATAATTTGATAGTTAACAATTATAAAACGCTGCAACTTGTGCCCTTCCTGGTTAAAGCACAGCAGGTTAAAGCACAGCACTGAGAGGCTAAGGCCACTTCCATATGAATTCGATCCCTACCTCTGAGGTGACCCCACAATGGTGCAGCAGACCTCTCCTGACCCACCCACTGCTTCCCTCAGCAGTGTACCTCATCAGTTGGCCTGTTCTGCTCCCTACTCTGTCTCTGGTGAATCCTCTCACCACCGCTGCACCTCTGGCCTGTACCCCAATACTGTATGCATAAATAAATAAATCTTTAAAAAACACTGAAACTCTTTGACACAGACATATGAAAACCATGCAGATGCAGATACCAGCCATTCCTTTAACTAAGGAGGCCAATTAGGCAATTTTTTTCCCTCCATTTTAACAAGAGGCTTTAATCCAATATCTGGGTATCCTGTGTACTGTGGGCAAAACTGTACCAGCACAGGTTCTAGATTGAATGGTAATTGGAACAATTGTTTATACAATGATGAATATAAACCATTAAATAGATTTGTCTATATTTTCAAAAAAATATTTATATACTCACAATAACTAGATGACTAATACACACATTTAATATTTACTTGTAGTCCTATTTTTTTCTGGCACTAGTCACAATTTCCCTTTGATTAAGAGAAAATGTTTTTAGAATGGTAGTAGGGATTGATTCAATGATTGTGTTGTTGTTAATACTAGCTGATTCTGAATACAAAGGTTAATGTTAAATTTTCATTATAATGTCACCAAAACAAAAGACCACTGATCATTTATTTATTTTCTTATTGTGAGGATCATTTAAGCAGCTTGTTTAAATCCTCCTTCAAATGGTGATGCCATATATTTCAGTTTACCACACATTTAAAGGTAGTATAGACTTTTATAGTACATTTTTTTTTCTGCCAGTAATTGTCAGTTATCTTACAGTGGGGAACATTTTCTTTCAGCCTCCTCTCTCTTGTCCTCACTCATTATTTCTCCTTTTCTTTTCCCTCTCCTCTCTCCTTTTATGTTTTTTTTGAAACAGCTTCCTTTTATCAATTACTCAGAGAATATTTTTGTTTATCACACATGTGTGTGCCAGATCTTGGGTTAACACTACAAAGGGTTTGAGTAATGTGACTCTCATATAAGTCTAATGGGAGCCTACATATACAACACAGATAGTACCTGCTATAATAGTTTATATATAAGGGTCTTTCTTAGTTTCTTATTGGTGCTATAACAAATTACCACAAATTTGATGATATAACCAGCACAAAATAACCTTATTTCTCTATGTCTAAAGTTAGGTACAGGTTTCACAGTACCTGAACATAAGGTATTAGAGGACTGAATTTCCTTGGAGTGATTCAGATAATCCAAAGTAATATGATCTGAGGAGCCGTCATGTTAATCACATTTACAAAGTCAAATTTGCCACGTGAAGTAGCTTGTTCACAGGTTCAGAATAGGATGTGAATATCCTTGGAGAGTCAATATCTGTCTATCACATATGTACATAGGGAAGAGCATCTCTTCCAGATCGGAGATGCAAGGTATGTTCAGCAGTAGATTTTTAGAGACAATGATCTGTTTTTGTTTTTTGTTTTGTTTTTTGCAACTAAAGGACAAGTAAACACTAAGTAGACTGTGGAAGGAGGGTTGAACAAGTGAAACTTTCTGAAGTAGAACATGTAAAGATCAGAATTCTAATGAATAACTTTAGGAACTGAAAGATGCTCAGTATGACCGGCTTGTATATTGCAAGATACACTGTGAGAAAACCTAAGCAGGCAGGTAGTAATGGACTCAGATTCTATGGGCCCTTAATGACTATATTGGGTATCTAGAAGTCATTCTGTGAATTATGGTAAGTGAAGAGTTGATGGTAGGTCGATGAATGATGTGATCAGATTTCCATCTTGTAAGCTGATTCAGACTGTGGTGTGGGTAATAGACTGACGAGAATGATATACAATGATAAGATCTTGGAAGAAGCGCTTTTATTGACTTAGAAGTGAGCTACGTATGAGTGACCATAGTCAACATCTAAAACCATAGACTGGCTCTAGAGTTACCTAGGGATCTGAAATGATAAACCTTTGTTACTAAGCAGATACAGAATGATTCAAATTTGGCATTAGCATTTTGACTAAATCATGTTGGTATATTTGGGACATTTCAGTGAAAGCCTGATGTGAAGGGAATGAGTATGTGTTTTGCATACTGAGTTCTATTGGCCCTTTAGATGTAGGTTTCTTGTCTGTAGCTAAGAAGTTTAAGCATGGAATCTAGATGGAAGGTAATGATTTTGACTTTAATGATCCTTGTATAAATTCTGTGTGGGGTAAATGTAGATGAAAAGAGGTCCCTAGGGCAGTGAACTGAGAGTAGAGAGTTAAGAAAGTAGAGAGGAAGAATGAACCAAGAAATAAGATATGACCAGAGGGATGATGAGGTGAGGCACAGAAAGAAAGGACATGGGGGAACTTGAAAAGAATTTCAAGAATGCAGTGTAATCAATACTGCACTTCATTGCATGATCACATCTGAAAGATAAGGACTAAACTATACTCTAAGGGATGGTATTATTTTAACAAACACAAAGCTCTTTTAAAGACTAAGTACACCCAGAATTCAGAGTTCAGTAGTAAGTCAAGAAGACACAGTGAAAATTAGAGATTGAGACATCAATAAATGGTAAATGGAAGTTAGTGGGGCACCAGAGAATTATGCATGTATATTACTGGGAGGGACACAATCACTATCAGTTGACATCCTCTCAACTAGTAAATTCTTAGCCATGATACAGTCTGTCCTTAAACTCCCCACAGTAAGTGTTCCTAATGAGATAAGAAAGTGACTCCATTCTCAAGAAGGGGCATAGATTTATTATTCAATCACTTGTAAGATTATTTCAGGTCCTGCATAAATCATTATTCATTGTAGCCACCATGGCAGGCTATAGATTCCATTATCCAGGAAATAACTGTAGAAATCTTGTGTGTAATATAAGCCATCTGACGATGAGAAAGGAGCCCAAGCATGAGCCTGAAGCAAACATTTTCCAAAAATTACATTAGGGAATAAACCTGTAAATTTGCCAGCTTTGTCACACCCACCTGAAACTCTACCTAATGACTTGCTAATGAGGAGACAAAAACTGGAATTATTAGATAGATCTAAGAAAATTTGCAATAATCGAGAGTGTGCGTTGGCCAAGTTGTAGGCTGATGTAGAATCTACTACCTGGCACCCATTACTATAGAAATTGCGGCTTTCTTATCATTTATCAAAGATGAAATCACAGCTAAAAGAACCATAAGAGCTGATAGTCATATTTTAGAATATTGTATTTAAAAAAGTTGATAAAGTGAAAGCCATAGCTTTTCCTCAGATTAAATTATCCAGCACAATTTGAACATCATTTCATTTAATTGTCAACTTTTATGAACTGCCGGATGGCGAGGACCAAAATAAGTTTCACTTTGTTTACCATACCCCAAGTTACCCCCGGCCTGAATGTAGGGATATTTCATAGAAGGATATCACTTTGAGTAAATACATTTCTTTTTAATAATATACTTGAAAGAGAGGGAGGGAGCCAACATTTTGTTGGTTTCCCTGGCAACCATTAATTTCAAGAAAAATAGAGACAAAGTGATCTGATTTTATCAACAGGTTGTAGGGAAAACAATATTTAGAATAATTTGCTAGCAGGTGAGCCACCGTAGCAAAATCCAAGAATTTAGTAATGCACTCTTACTTGAAACTATTTTCTTTTTCACTTACGTTTTACAGTTGCCATGGGAGTTGGCACCTTTGTCTTAGAATTTACTTCTGTGCAAAAAAAAAAAGAGGGAAGAGGCTTTATTTAAGATCTAATGTTCTAAGAGCTCCTGAATCTGAATCCAAAAGTCTGAGCTTTTGACAAAGACAGGCGAAAATTAACACATCAATGTCTTACAGGGAAGAGCAGGAAGAAGGAGAAATGCCAGGATGCTGACCTGTACCCACTGGTGGAAACAGAGCCATGTCCTTGTGATGAGTTTATATCTCAGCCTTATGGAAACTGGTCTGAGTGCATTCTTCCCGAAGGCAGGAGGGAACCTAAGCGAGGATTATCAGTACAGAGAGACAGCAAAGAATGCGGAGAAGGAACGCGCTTCCGAGCAATAGCCTGCTCTGATAAAAATGGAAGACCTGTGGACCCCTCCCACTGCAACAGCTCTGGTAAGGAGATGAACATGGAGTCACAGATAAAACATTGACATACTCTCCAGGAGCTTGTCCATGGCCTAGAGTTAGTAGCTTTATCTTTCAAAAATTGTTTTAATTGTTTTGTCAATAATATACTACCTCTCATAAAAGATGGCCATTTGGACTGCACTTACCCATAGCTCACTTGTTACTTGGAATGACATTGTTTTGGTTTCTTGATTGTCTCTATATTTCATCTTGGCCATTTGTTCACTGTCTATCTCACATGGCTCTACTTTTCAGAAAAAAACAAAATCCAATAGAAATGACAAAGTAGCAGGCCTTGAATTTTCTCTGAAGTAACTGACAAAAAGGTGATTTGTAATGTTTTGCAATACAGTGTACAGTATGTCAGAATTAATAAGCTGAAATTATAGAAAAGAAATTAGACCTTCTGAGAATTTTGTGAGATGTTAATCAAGGATAAGAGTTTTGTTTTTTGAGCCTTCAGAGAGTTTGGAAGTTAGGGCAAATGGAGAAAAGAATGAAGATAAAAATTTGTTGAGGGCGGCTGAAACTAAAGATAATGATTAAGCTTATGAATTTCCTGCATTTTTTGCTTTTTATCTTTTTCTAAAAAAGGCTAGACAAGTCAGCAACTTTATGAGATAGTGTAAAATGTATCCGTGTTTGAATGACAAACTGGGAATAATGATACAGTTTGGTCTCCATCATCAAGATTTTTTTGTTTTAATAACCTTTCACATTAATACCAGCAGTGGCAAAGTGTATTTAGTTCTACCATACAAGTGGGTATATGATAAAATGATAATTCTTATTTATTTTCAACATATTTGTACATATTTACTTAAGATATTAACCACTTCATTGTATGAAAATTTCATATTTTTTAAGTGCCATCATTGCTCTTTATCAACTCCCTATGTTAGTCTGAATAATTGTTTTCAGTGAGTTGAAGTTCAGAAACATTAGACAATGCAAGTAATTAGCAAGTAATGTATCTATTTTATGGACGTCAAAATAGGTTGACTCTTAAGTTGTTCAGCTCTTTCTTATTGGTTTTTTGTTTGTTTGTTTAAATTGAAACATTTTATATATAGCATTGCATGAATTTTAATTGTAGAACATTAATTTGATACATTTATATTGATTACCATTACAACCATAGTTTGCATCTCTATCACAGTACATACTTATCATTTGAGGAGGAGGATAAGAATAACTTAACTGTAATTTCTTAGCAAGTTTGATTATAATAAAATATTGTCTATGCACATTATACTATGCATTAGATTTCTAGGACTTATTTATTGTTTACAAATTGGTACCTATGAATACCTTCTGTCCTATTTGTCCAGTCCCCTGTCTTCTGCTACCTACAATTTTACTGTGTTTTTATAAGTTTGGCTGTTTTCAGACTCCATGTAAAAGTGAGAACATATCATTGTGTCCTTCTCAGACTTAACTCACCTGGCATAATGCTGTCAGTTCCATCCAGATTGCCACAAATGAAAGGGTGTCTTGTCATGGCTCAAAATTATTACCTTGTGGTATAGGTTGTTTCCTTATCGTGACTCTTAGATAAATAATGCTGTAATAAACATAGAGGTGAATATATTTCTCCAATGCCCATACATTCATTTCCTTTGGGTGTATGCCCAGAAGGGTAATTTGTAGGGCATAAGTACAATATCTTTTAATTTAAAAAAAAATTAAGATTTATTTATTTATGCATACAGAGCTGGGGTACAGGCCAGAGGTGGAGGGATGGTAAGAGGAGTCACCAGAGACAGAGTGGGGAGCAGAATGGGCAGATCGGCAAAGTACTCTGGTGAGGGGAGCAGTAGGCAAGACAAGAGGCCATGTGGGTCACCTACGGGGCAGGGATCGAACTTGCACTGAGATGACTGGCTGCTGCCAGCTTGCAGTGCTGCGTCCTAACCTGTTGCGCCTCCAGATTTTAATTTTTTCAAGAGTTCCATATTGCTTTCCATCTGACTAAACCAAGTTTCATAACAGTGAGCAAATTTTCCTTGTTTCTACATCCTCACGAACACTTACTACCATTTTTGTCCTTTGTATGATGCATGACTTGCAATGTTTTTCCCAATTTGAAGTTTGCCTTTTCATTGTATTGATACTTTTGCTGTGATAAACTTTTGTGCTTGTAGTCTTATTTTGTTTTATTTTTTGCTCTTGTTGATGGTACTTTTGGTATCTTTCAAAGTCATTGACCAGACTAATGTTAAGGATCTTATTCCCAAGATTTTTTTAGAGGTTCTATTATGTCATTAGGTTTTATGTTTTAAGTGTTTGATCCAGTTTGAGTTAAGTTTTGTTAGACTGAGGAAAGGGTTCACTGGCATTGTCTCCTATGTTTTTGATCCAGTTTTACAACACACTTATTGGAGCACTGTTTGGTATTTTAGCTCCTGTATTTAATATAAGTTGATTAAATCTGTTCCACTGTTATGTCAACACCATGCTGTTATGGTTAGTATAGCTTGGTAGTATGGTTTGAAATCAGGAAGTATGAAATCACCAGCTTTATTCTTTCTCAGGATTGCATTGGCTATTGGGGCTCTTCTGTGATTCCATGCAAATAGTAAGATTTTTGTGAAAAATGCCATGAAATTTTGATAAGGATTGTGTTAAAGCTATTGATGGGAAGTATGGACATTTTTCACAATATCAATTCTTGAAATCCATATACATGAGAAATAACTGCCATTGTTCATGTCCAATTTCTTTAAACAAATCATTGTTAGTTTTGGAGTTTTTTTTATTTTCTGGGTTAAATATAAACATAAATATGTTTTTGATGCTCTTGTGAATGGGATAAATTTCCTAGCTATTTTATTACTATATGTTGATCTTATATCCTGTAACTACTGAAATCTTGGTTAGTTCCAACATTTTTGTCTTTCTGGTTTTATACATTTAAAAAAAATCTGCAATGATTACAGCTATGTCTTCTTTCCCAGTTTGTGTGCCTTTTATTATTTTCCTTGTCTAATTATATGTTAGAATTTCCAGTACTGTATTGAATAAAGTGTTATCTTTATCCTGTTTCCCAATCTTAGAGTAAAATGTTTCCATTTTTTTCCACCATTGAGTATAATGTTAACTGTAAGGTCTTTTGTATTTGACCCTTAATTTCATCATACACTCTTGTTGAGGGATTTTTCTATAACCTATTGTTGTAGTTTGACAAATGCTTCTCCTGCATATTTTGGTGATGTTGTCATTTTTATCTTTCATTCTGTTAAGATGTTACATTTGTTCATTTTCATGTGTTGAAACATCTTTGTATCTTTTGGATAAATTACACGTTACTATCATCTTTATCCTTTTAATGTATTCTACAATATCATTTGGCAATACGTCAGAAAAGAATTTTTGTGTTTATATTCATGAAGAATATTGTTCTATAGTTTTCTTATAATGTCTTTTTCTTATAATGACTTTGTATTGTTATAGTTCTGTGCTAGCCCTATAATCTGACTTTGGTATCGGCGTAATACGAACCATACAGAATGAGTTTGGGAAGGTTCACTCCTCAGTTTTTCTGAAGATGTTTGAGAGACATTGTTTAGTTCTTTAAATGTTTGATATAATTTGCCAGGAAAACTACCTGGTCCTCAGTATTCTGTGTTTAGTGTTAGATTGCTGATGCTATCTCTTTGTAATTGTTCTGTTCAGATTTCGTTTACTTCTTGGTTCAGAGCTAGTTGGTTGTGTTTTAGAAATATAACCACTTTGTAGTTTGTCTAATTTGTTAATATACAATTAGTATACTAATTTCCTATGATTTTAATTGCTTTTATAGTATTTGTTTATCTTTCTATTTCTCTGTTTTTTTAAAATAGTGTAAAATTTTGTCAACTGTTTACACATTAAAAAAGTTCTTAATTTTTTAATATTTGTTTTAATGATTTATATTACACTTATTTCCACTGTATGTTCCTTCATTTTACTTATTTTTCACTTACAATCTTTTGCTTTCTCATTGTTTAAGATCTTTGTAGCTCCTAATAATGTGCATTTATCGCAGTAAACTTTCTTCTCTGATTTTGTAACATCCCACAGAGTTGATAAATTTTCTCCATTTTCATTAGTTTCAAAATAGATTTTCCTTCTGATTTCTTGACACATTGGTTATTCCAAAATGTGTTTTTTTAGTTTATATATGGGTTGCAGGTTTTCCAGTTTAATTTTGCTATGGTCAGAAAAGATAGTTCAAATTATTTGTCTTAAATTTTTTTTTTTTTTTTTTTGGTTTCTGTTTGCATGGAATGTCTTCTTCCACTCTTTCATATTAAGCTTATATGTATCTTTAGAGCTAAAATGAGTCTCCTATAGGTAATGCATAGTTCTATCTGGATTTCTTTTTCTTTTTTGAGTTTTTGAGATTATATATACTTTACATCATTCTTCATTTTGTACATTTTTTCATCTCAGTTGTAATCCCCATGGACTTCCCACCACCAATGCACCATTGTCCCATGTAGTCTTCCTTCCCCAGTTTTGATCCTATTCATATCTTGACTTCTTATCTAGTCAGTTGTTCTCTGCCTTTTGTTTGGCAAGTTCAATCTATTTTTACTTAGAGGAATTATTAATATGTGAAGACTTACTACTTATTTTATTGTTTGCTTACTCGTTGTTATATTTACATTGTTTTCCTCTTCACTGCCTTTCTTGGTAAGGTTATATTGTTCTGTGGGGTGGTGGTATGCTCTAGCCCTCTTTTTTGTTTTATGAATCTATACTAGATTTTTGATTTGTGCTTACCATCAAGCTTATACAAAAAAAAATCTCACATATTACTCCATTTTATGCTGATTATAATTGAATTTACTTTCTGACAATTTTTTTTCCCTTTTTATATTTCGATGTCACAATTTACCTCTTTTTACATAGTATATTCATTACAAAACTATAGGTTGTTCATGTGTTTTTAAATTTTTTTAAACTCTCTTTTTTTCTTTTTATTTTATTGTCATGTGTCT